GCACTCTGCCCTCATAGACTGTTCAGCTGGCTCTCTCCATCTCGATTTACCCCTCTTTTCCGACCCGCCTAGCCCACCGCAAACCAACCTCTGCTGCATTGATTTCACGCGCCTCCCTCCTAACTCTGTCACACATGTCGACTTATCCTGCACGCCGCCAGTACCTGATGGTGATTACATGGTGGCCCCGATTCCTGCCGTGATGCTTACGCATGGGGTTGCTGTGCCGCATATGATTCTGACGATTAAGAGAAACTGCACCTTCCTTCCACTGGTCGACTTTTCACTCACCACCCAAGTTCTGCCACAGGATATCTTCCTGGCCAAAATTACTGCTCTCCAAGATGACCATGTCGAGCCCTTCAGAGTTGACGATTGCTGCAGCTCAGTCAGTGGTTCCACTCCATCACGTTCTTGGGGCGCCGACATCGAGCGAATGGTGTCATCGGAACTCATGTCTGAGCAAGCTGCAGCGCTTTGCCACGTTCTTGAGGGCTATCGTAGCATTTTCGACTTTGCCAGCAACTCTTTAGGCCAAACGACCATTGTCACCCATCGCATAAATACTGGCCATGCAACCCCCATTCACCGACGCCCCTACCGTGTGTCTGCGTCGGAGCGTGCAATATTACAACACGAAGTCGGCAAAATGCTTGCGAAAAACATTATCGAGCCTTCATGCAGCCCCTGGGCTTCTCCAGTCGTCCTTGTAAAAAAAAAAAAAAGATGGAACATGGCGCTTTTGTGTCGATTACCGTCACCTTAACAAAATTACCAAAAAGGGCGTTTATCCTTTACCTCGCATCGACGACGCCCTCGACTGCCTGTACGGTGCCACTTATTTTTCAACTATTGACCTTCGGTCAGGGTACTGGCAGATAGCCGTCGACGAGATAGACAGCGAGAAGACCGCATTCATCACTCCTGATGGTCTTTATCAGTTTAAGGTGATGCCCTTTGGACTCTGCAATGCACCAGCCACATTTGAAAGAATGATGGACTCATTGCTCCAAGGGTTGAAATGGTCCACCTGCTTGTGTTACCTTGACAATGTTATTGTCTTTTCGCCCACATTCGACTCGCATATTGATCGTTTGTCAGCTATTCTGGACGTTTTTCGTCGAGCCGGACTCCAGCTTAACGCCTCCAAGTGCCGCTTCGCTCGTCGTCAAATTTCCGTGCTCGGTCACCTTGTCGATGCCCAAGGCGTGCGTCCAGACCCAGAAAAAATTCGCGCAGTCACGAACTTTCCCGTTCCGAAGACCACAAAGGATGTCTGCAGTTTTGTGGGGTTGTGCTCATATTTCAGACGCTTTGTTAAGGACTTTGCGACCATTGCACACACACTCACAGACCTCTTGAAGAAAGACGCCTCGTTTACCTGGGGCCATGACCAAGCGTCATTGTTTTCGCAACTTACGACACTGCTTACAACGCCACCAATCTTGGCTCACTTCGATCTATTAGCCCCAACCGAGGTTCACACGGACGCCAGTGGACACGGCATAGGAGCTGTGCTATTGCAGCAACAACGCGGACACGACCGTGTTATAGCCTACGCAAGTCGACTGCTATCTCCAGCCGAGCGCAACTATTCCATCACGAAGCGCGAGTGCCTCGCCCTTGTATGGGCAGTCGCCAAGTTTCGCCGTACCTGTACGGGCGCTCATTTTGTGTTGTCACGGATCATCACGCGCTCTGCTGGCTAGTCTCCCTGAAGGACCCCACGGGACGTCTCGCTCGCTGGGCTATACGCCTTCAAGAGTACACGTTCTCTATAATGTACAAAACAGGGCGATTACATCAGGATGCGGATTGTTTATCCTGCTACCCTGTTGACGAAGCAACCGATACTGACGCTATCACGGACGTTTTTTCCGTGTCGCAGCTGTTAAACATTGGCGAAGAGCAATGTCGGGATGCTTCTTTACGAGCCATCATTGACAAACTGGAGTCAACGCTTCGTGACCCGTCCCTACGAATGTTTTTGGTGAAAGACGAAATCCTATATCGCCGTAATCTTGATTCCTTCGGATCAGACTTACTTCCTGTCATCCCAGCGCACCTGCGTTCCACTGTCCTGCATCAACTTCATGACGCTCCCATGACGGGCCATTTGGGAGTTTCTCGCACATACGATCGGGTACGACGTCGGTTTTTTTGGCCTGGGCTTGCCCGCTCTGTTCGACGCTATGTCGCCGCTTGTGAGCCCTGTCAGCGTCGCAAAACGCCGTCTGCCCTCCCAGCCGGCTACCTTCAGCCGATCGACGTTCCCAACGAGCCTTTCTTTCGAGTTGGTCTCGACCTGTTGGGCCCTTTTCCACTCTCCACAGCCGGAAATAAATGGATTGCTGTTGCCACGAACTACGCGATGCGGTACGCAATCACACGAGCACTCCCGACGAGTTGCGCAACCGATGTGACGGACTTTCTGGTATATGATATTATTTTAGTACACGGAGCTCCACGCCAACTTCTCACTGACCGGGGCCACACTTTCCTGTCAGCTGTCGTTGATGAAATCCTGCGCTCTTGCTCTGCCAAGCACAAGTTTGCCACTTCGTACCATCCGCAAACGAACGGTCTCACGGAGCACCTCAACCGCACCATAACCGACATGCTTTCTAAATACGTAGCGGCCGACCACCAGGACTGGGACGTTCATTTGCCATTTGTGACGTTCGCATATAATTCGTCACGTCACGACACTGCCGGCTATTCGCCCTTCTATCTACTATATGGCCGGGATCCAACTCTAATCTTAGACACTTTACTACCTGCGGCCACTGAATATGCTGGGGAAGCCATTGCTCACGCCGACCACGCGCGCCAAGTCGCCCGTAACCGTCTACAGGCTTCACAGGGGCGCCAACAACAGCTCTACAATTCTCACCATAGGGACGTGCACTTTTCTCCGGGTTTTCTCGTGCTCCTCTGGTCACCTACTCGGCGTGTGGGGCTCTCTGAAAAACTGTTGTCGCCATACACTGGATCATTCCGCATCGTTCGCCAAGTGACAGACGTCACGTACGAGATTGTTCCAACCGATAACAAAGTCATCGTCAGCTCCGAGCGACACCGTTCACGTGGCTTGGCTAAAGCCCTATTACCCCCCTTCGACATCATCTGCGTAAATTTAGCACCGGGACGGTGCTTCTACCGCCGGGAGTTATGATACAAAACAGCCGCTAAACACGGCTGCATGAAAGAGGAGGACGAAGTGAGTTTTCGTTGGATGCTGGTCTGGCGCCATCTTGCTCGTCGAGTTCTGTGCGCTGTAAATAGATCATTAAACAAGTTACTCGTAACAATATCATACTCACTGGAAATACATTGCCCATCCATACATCATATCGTAACAGCGTTTGTTGCTGGTATAGGAGGTTATAGCAGCACAGAGCCTGCCAGCACGATCAAGTCTGTGGGGGCAAATGTTCTAACGCACCGGCGCAGTCTTAAATTAGGTATGCTGGTGAGGTGCCGTGTGCATATCCTGGCAGGTGGGTGCGGTAACATGTGCATCTCTGTGCAGGTGGGTCCTTAAAGCAACACTAAAAAACTATTTTTCGCGTATTAGTGAAGTGCAATTTCACAATCCTGAAAACGCCACTCTTTCGACGAAAAAAAAAAAAAAAATTGCGGGTGGTGATGTTACCTTGAGATTCCCGCATCAAACACCATGACGTAAGAAATGTTGAAGGTGTTTACTGGGTCCTATGTAGCTTAAAATCAATAAAAATGAAGTACATGGTCATTTGTGGGTGCCATAGACTTTAGCATACGAAGTTTCAGAAAATTTCATCGAGCCAATGCCACTAACAACACCAGAAATACATTTTGAAATTTCTGATGTCGTGTAAAGATTTTGGCACCAAATTAGAAATGAATTTGAGCTTTGATTTTTTCTGCTTATAATAAACTTACGATAGTGAAACATAATATGGTGTTAGAGTTCTCAGAGTGCAGTTTGTCAATATAAACTAAATCACTGTTCTTTTTTAGTGTCCCTTTAATCGTTTGCAGGTGTTTGCAAGGGGGGGGGGGGAATTTCCCGGCAGGTGGGTGAGGTAACATGTGCAGTTCCATGCGGGTGGATCCTTAACCTTAAATGGCTTGACTGAGAGGGGGAAGCTCTGGCAGGCGGGAGGCCACATTTACTTCCCGGCAGGTGGGTGAGGTGCTGTGTGCAACTCCATACAGGCGGGTGAGGTGATGTGTGCAGCTCCATTCAGGCAGGCCCTTAACGGGTTTCACGTGTTTGTGAAGAGGAGGAGCTCTGGTGCAACAATGCGCATAAGAGGGTGTGACTGGAAGTGTGTCAGCCTCATGTCGTGGTCTATGTGTTGAGTATTTGAAAGCTGACAGAGCATGTGTAGCTTGCTTTTCTTTCCAGAAGTGTTTGTACAATTATGACAATAGAATTAGTGCCTGCCATGCTTTTTTTTATTTTCAAAAGTCTGCCCTTAGGCATAATAACTTTTTATTGAAAAATACACATGCAAATTTGCTTCGTGTATAAAGTCGAGTAATGAGCAGTGGTGAGGTCAACGAATCCAGTTGTCAAATTCGGGTGGTCGGCCAGGCCTGAGGCCTATCACTCGTAGGTGACGATAATGGCTTAATTGTAGACTTGTGCAAGTCCATAACTAGTGTTCATCAGTTACATTGTGGATTGGGGCATCGTAAAATGAGCACGATGTACCATACAGACGTGGTACTTTTGCACCCAAAGAATAGTCACGGATAAAGTAAGTGCAACTCCATCCCAAAGCCTCTGAAGCGTAACCTCCTCATGGCGGGTTCAACCACCAGGGAGGTCTGATCCACACGGAAGTATAGAATCTCGTGTGGTACGACGAGGGCTTCCTTTTTCCCAGAGCATCTGTCCCGAAAATGCCCCATTTCTCAATGCTTGTGGCTACCATACATTGGCAGGCACAAAATGCAGTTGTGTGCCTTTTTTTTCTATTTTTTTGTAATGTGCTTTATTTGTGTTTCAGCGCCGCCAGCAGCAAGAGAAGCAGCAGTTGAGCAAGGCATACAAGTCAGAAAGGCAAGTGCCTTGGCCACGTCAACCCTTTAACTGGCAAAATATGAATCAGCAACAAAATAATTATTTCTGTGTTTTCAATCGATTTTCTCTCATTCAAAAGTGTTCCTAGAAAAGTTTAAGACGCTTTCAAACGCAAATGAGGAAAATGTGCAACTGCAACAATTTCTTTCATCTGCCAAATGAAGGTGCAGAAAGTCAGTCAACTGATACTGTTGATCCCAGCTTGATCAGATCTTATGTTTGGCGAAAACTGTTCAAAACAGTTTTTTCCACTTTTTAGGCACACCAGTTCATAGTTCATGTGCTCAAGAAGCCGTTTCTAAGTAATGACCGGAAGTAAGCTGGTAGGGAATGTGTTACTTCAGAAGCTCGTGTATCTTTTAAATTTACTTTTCAGAAATTTATATGTCTGCAATGTGTTTCTTTTCCAATGTTCTTATTTTTTTACACTGTTGGGATGCCTCTCTCCTTTAGAAACATCTGCATCATGTGCTCTATAGGTCACAGGAGCTTTTCTTGGCTTATTTTGGAGAAATGCCGGTGAATGCCTCTGAGGGTCTTCAGAGTCTATTACAGAAACTGATTAAATCCATCAAAACATCTGCAATCTTAGTTTACTTGTATTATTTGGCCAAAATATTTGAAAATAGTCTTCATCGAAATTTCATCACCCGAGAAGTGGAACTAGCGCAATGCCTGTTTCCCTGTCTCCGCTGTAGATGAGCACTGCATTCATGCCTTAAAAAAAAAAAAAAAAAAAGCAAGAGTGCTTGCTTGCCACCCTTTATAATGTACATGTTGCAGATTCTCTAAATATGCTGCATCAAAGTTCACAGAAATTCGGTAGATGGCAGCAAATCAGGTACAACAACAAGCATGTCATTTTTCCATGGTGTCCACATAGTGAACAAGCAGCAACACATACTTTTCATTTCGTGCTTCTATGGCGCCAATGAGAAATGTGCAACGAAACAGCCGGATCACTCAACGTACAGTGGACTCTTAAATGAAACTCGAAGGGGCAAGAAAATTTGTTTCATTTATGAGAAGTTCTATTAAATGAAGCCCACATAATTTATGAATATATGACTTTATTTCAAAAGCTCCAAGCTTTCCCGTTCACATGGTACGTGACAGGCAGCATATGCACACCTTTGAAGCAGCGGCGGGGTTCTTTTTATTTTTCCATAAATACTAACTTTTTACTGCTGTCCATATTGGCACCTCCTAGCACTGTAATATGATTTATGCTTCGCCTTTCTCCTGCACAGATTTCCTTCTTGTAGGCGAGACTCTTAACAAGGAGTGCCTTGTAAAACAACTATTTTATCAATGGTAAAGGGGCTTAGTGACACTTTTGCGACAGTCTTACTTAGCATCGGAACACATGAAGTAATGATTGGAGAGACGAATGCAACAACAATGATGTAAATTGGTGCACGGAAAGGGAAGTTATGAGTCCTCAAAGTTCAAAACTTGAACAGTCAATGACGAGAAATGTTCCTTTTCACGTTTAATTTGCCTACTGACATCTAAGACCGCTTGCAATCACAGCGTGCATCTCATTAAGACATACCAAAATGTCACCTCATGGTGGCCTTCACACAGTACCTCGCTACCGCTTTTTGACAGCGTCGTTAGCATGGTTACGACGAATCACTTGTGTCGGATAGCAGACGCTCTCACGGTGACACTGTGTAGGATACATACCTTTTAAATTGAGACACTTCTCTGCTTGCATGCAAGGTGCATTCTTCAATAACAGCAGTGTCAACCACATATCCCACTTTTGGCTCGCTAAAAACGTGGCATGCGTTTCCACCTTTACTTGCTGGCATACCAGAGCTGGATTTGCAGCCTAAGTGTCGTGTTCGTTTTTTTTAAATACATCATTTAGAAACAGAAATGATTTCTCTCTGAGAAAGTATAAAAAGGACTATTACTCCTTTTAGCATTCACTTGTATGGCCTAGTTATCACCACATTAATATTGCATGATACTTTCCATGTCAAGCCAGTCAAAAACGAATAGCCTTTGTCATCACATCACATCACTTCCCATAATAAAAATAGCCAATATGTGTCGCTGTAGTCCGAAAGCAAGGTAGTTTGTCCTGTGAAATAAAATTACAACATTTTCAATTTCGCCATTTCTACTTGCACAACGATATTGGCGCAATGCACAGGACCGGAAGAACCAATGAAAAAGACATGCTCAAATTGTGTTACAGGGCCCCCTTAAAACAGCTCTTTTTCTTGTAAGCTTCCAAAATTTCTTGTAGCCTCCCGTGTGGCCAGTGGCAACATACATCTTTTTTTTTTTTTGCAGACTCACTTTCTCCGGAAACTGTCTCAAAGACAAGACCATGCCACTTTTTAAAACGTCTCAGCAAGCTGTCGCTCACCCTAAAATCTTGGTGTTTATCTGAGAAGCAACTCGTAGGCCTTGTCTTCTAAAAAATGGTACTAATCAAGAAGTTCGCACTGTGCACACACTTGAACCAGAGGAAAAGCACATCTTTAATTTTTTTTTATATGCAGTCGTTCTCATCCTCAATCTTGCTTGCTTGCTTGCCCCTTTACATGTGGCTCGTACCCACTACATGGAATTGGCCAATAAACTAGCACTTAATAAGAGAAAATAATTAAAATTGAGATCAAAGAAAACAAGCTAATTGGTCATCAAAGGAATATATAAATATAGGACTATAATATGAAATAGTTCTATCAGATTAGTGAGAAAGTCAAGAAGTAAATTTTAATTAGGATTGACTTGTAAATGAATTTTTATTATGTGTCTAAGAAATTCACAGACCGCAATGCAGACATTCTTGTTGCTGTGACCCAGAGAATTCCCAAAGGAAAGAATATTTTCATACTTAAGAGTGATTCCTAATTTTCGGAATAAAATTTCTAAATTTTTTTCTTATGGCTAGTAAACGGCGACAAGTAAATGAGAAATCATTAATGTTTTCAGGCTCTTGACAGTAAAAGCGTAAAGGAGATGGCACCTGACCAGACCTCTATAAGTAAACATTAAGAGGAGGAGTCTGGAATTGAGATTTTGTGAAGGACACTTTTAAATTCTGAGTGGTTACTATTTATTATTTTAAGAAAAATAAAGATGACCATATTCTTAAACTACCAGGTAATCGTATTTTTATGGAATCTTGAAGTAACGTATTTTGCGAAATCTGCATTCAGTAATAAAAACAGTACCAGGTACAATGGACCTTACAGGACTATGTAAGGACTGTGTAAATCGAGCGCGCCCTCTCTTTAGGTGCCTTGTTCCTCCAGCTTGCTCGAGTGTTGGGAACATGGCCACCGTGGTTTTGCCGCCAGGCCTTTTTGTCTTGCGTGAGCCATGCAGCTGTTTTCCCTGCATGGAGAGGCGTGGCGTTGGTTGCCCAGACAACATTCCTCCCCCTTACGTCATGTTAGCTCACGTCACAGTGCTCCGTCGATCCTGGTTGGCCACCCGTGAGCCCCCTCTTCCGGTACCTTGCCTTTCCCCGGTGCTCGCTCGCCGCTGGGTAGATTCACACAGGCCTGCATGAGAGGTAGACGCACTGCTTTAGCAAGCGGCTTCTCGTACACGTGCTTGGCAGCTGGCCTTTGTGTGATAGCCCTAGCACCTGCTCGCAAGCATACACTCGGTCGGTCTTGCGGAGTTACCTGCCTGCCCGCAAGTCCGTGATTGTCACACTGTGCTATATTCTGGGTAAATAAACCTGTGTTTATTGACGACCTGTCTCAAGTGCCATCTCAGCACTGTGTCGGAGACTTGACGAACCCAGCTGTTGCTTCTTTGTGCGTGACTGCAGTGACGGCTCTCACGTTCCTTCCCGGTCACTTCGTAGGGTAAGCTGTTAGCAAATCTATCTCTAAAGGACCACTACACAAGTGGATTAGCCAGGTCTTATAATAATATGCAACGATGACATGGCACCCAATACAATCGCACTGTACGCAAGTTTTATGAGATAAATGAAGTAAATGCATTCTAAATTTAAGACTCGGAGGCATTCACTGAAGCCAGAAGTCTACATGTGGAGAGTGAATCAGTAACTACAACTACTGCCGAATCTTTTACTGAAGGTTTTTAGAGAACTAAAATAATTGCAAGGAGCTCTGCTTTAAATATGTGGTATAATCTAGGAGATGCTCTTAGAATGACCAAGATAAAGCTTCTGAGAAAATGCCTACACCCACTTTCTTTTCTCGCACGGATGCATCAGTGCAATTACATTAACAATTCCCAGTTGAAATTGGTGGTCTTCTAAGAACTTTATTATGTATTATAAGGTAGAAGTTTGGAATTAGAAGGAAACATGTCATCGAATTCAATTTTTGTTCTTGCAACTGAGTCATCATTTGGAACTATGCTACGTATGTTAACATATTAAAGTTCTATTTGGTCTTGCACAAAGTTTGAGGCCTATATATCCGAGTTCGAAGCTTGTAAAAAAGTCACAGCTTTGCTTCAAAGGCGAAGCAATGAACGTGATAGCAACAATTTGAAAGGTCACGCGCAGTATGGGAAGCAGATCGAAACGTGCCTTGCGTTTCTTGTGCACAAATTATGCACGAAACGTACTCGCAGGTACGGATGCACGCGAATAAGCATCGCATTTGTAACTTCACTGAGTCTGAAAAGCGCGCGCGCTTTTTGCAAACGGAGACTGCAATGATTGCAGTGACATTTGTGAGCCTGGTAACTACAGCAGAATCGTTCCACTTAAAGCACGAAACCAGCCAAGGTGTACGATCCTACCCTCCTTGCCACCGCGAGATAAGGGCGCGTGAGGGAGTGTCGCTCCCCTTGTCTAAGCCGGGCAAAGTACGCGTAGGAAATTAGAATGGGCGCCGCTGCGTGATGTGGCGACGTGAGCTCATTGCACCACCTTTCTGGTAATGCCGAAAACACAGCAGTGGTATGTGGCAGATATAAATAGCTTGTTATTTAAACGGTGAAGAACGTTCTCTGGGGTGGCTCAG